CTCTTTTGTCTTTGCCTGTTTGGGGAAGTAACCTCTTTAAATATGACTAGCACCTTTTCTCACCTCAGTGAGAAATGAATTCATTTTAATTCAGTTAGAAACACCTGGACTTTAATAGCTCCTGTGTTTCAGTAGGTTTTCTGCTCATGTTCAAAATTTTATGTACATTCATAATCTCTCCCACATGGTCTATCTGTGTTCTCTGACATGTTCTGAAAAAAATGTCGTAATATTTCAGGAATAACATCATAATTTAATGAGAATTCATACTAATTTTGAATTCATACCTGCCCTATAGTCTGCTGGGCATTAGCCTGCATTGTTGCTCTGCCGGTTTGGCCCCTTAAGACCATATGCAGACACAGAACCATTTGGTACTGTACTACTGGATGAGAGGAAGAGGGGGATAAATTTATAAACTTACAGTCCCAGAGCAAGTTTGTGCCTCAGATTTTAGATGGTTATTTTGCAAAACTCTTTCACTCAGTTAACGTAACTGCAACTCACAGCGCGACACACCGGTGTCACATCAGCTGGTGGAGTTACTCGCCTCGAATCATTAGTAGTTGTTTATTTGTTTTTCACTGCGGGAGAATATTGATGTGTAGCGTGAGAGCGTGTGAAAAATGTCAATTGCGTGAGTGCCATGCTCGATGCCGGAGAGTTGGCAGCTCTGGTGTTACATTACTTGAGGTTAAGATAGCTAAAGCTTTGCTAGTCTGCCTGACTTTTAGCTCCTCACCTTCGCCTGTCATAGGCTACAAGGTGCTTCTTAATACTTTTTGTTTGGCCAGAAATTTGGCCATTGCCTCCCTATGATTTAGTTTTCTCTATGTGTTTAGGCTTTTCTTTTTTTGGGCTCTGAGAAGTCTTCAGTGTTCGCTTAAAGCGACAGATGACAAGGATGAAATCAGAATCAGCTTTATTGCCAGGTGTGTGTACACATACGAGGAATTTGACTCAGGATTGTACATTGCTTACGATGTGCTTACTTATACAATAATAAAATAATAATATAATAATAAAATCAGACATAAACTACAGTATAGACAACACTAATATACACACTATGAACAACACAATATAGACATATTGACAAATAGTGCAGTGATCAGAGTGCAAAGGATGCAAGAGTAAACTATTATTCTCATTATGTACATGTTGAAGGTGGATATGATATACAGGTACACATACATGTACACATGTACACAGTGTGATGGAATATAGTGCAAAGGATGCTGGAAAAAATAAATAAGACTTATGACCTTATGACCTGAGGGAGGTGTATTGGTATACAGTATATACAATATGACATAGTATGAACAGCACTGAAATAGAGAATGGTGAATAAATAAATAACAGTAAGTGGTAACCAGTAAACAGGTGGCTGATTAGAGACAGAGTTACTGGGTTATTGCACAGGAATTGTTCCTGACACTGTGAGTCAGAAATCAGCTGTTCATCAGAGTGATGGCTTGTGGGAAGAAACTGTTCCCAAGTCTGTTGGTTTGGTTTGGTCTGTTTGGCTAACAGAGGGGAGGAGCTGGAACAGGTTGTGTCCAGGGTGAGATGGATCTGCAGTGATGTTTTCTGCCCGTTTCCTGACTCTGGAAATGTATAAGTCCTGAATGGAGGGCAGGCTGTCCCTGTCCTTTTTGGTGGCAGATCCAAACCAGACAGTGATGGAGGTGCAGAGAACAGACTGGATGATGGCTGTGTAGAACTGGATCAGCAGCTCCTTAGGCAGGTTGAGCTTCCTGAGCTGACACAGGAAGTACATCCTCTGCTGGGCCTTCTTGATGATCGTGTCAGTGTTGGGCTCCCACTTCAGGTCCTGGGATATAGTGGATCCCAGAAACCTGAAGGATTCCACAGCAGACACAGGGCTGTTGAGTATGGTGATGGGGGGCAGAGTGGGGGGGCTCCTCCTGAAGTCCACGATCATCTCCACAGTTTTGAGCGTGTTAAGCTCCAGGTTGTTCTGACCGCACCAGAGAGTCAGCTGATCAACCTCCCGTCTGTAGGCCGACTCATCACCGTCCCGGATGAGGCCGATGACCGTTGTGTCGTCAGCTTCAGGCGTTTGACAGATGGGTCTCCTGAGGTGCAGTCGTCAGGTCCAGGAGCCTTTCTGATCTTCTGCCTTTGGAAGAGGTGGCTCACGTCCTCTTCACAGATCTTGAGTGCAGGTGAGAGGTCAGAGGGGGAAGGTGACTGTTTGAAGATGGCATTGGAGTTGGGGAGAGGTGTGACTCTGGGCTTTTCAAACCTACATTAGAAACCATTCAGCTCGTCTGCCAAGCGTTGAGTACCAGCAGTGTTGGGGGATGGTCTCTTGTAGTTTGTGAGTGTCCGTAGGCTTCTCCACACTGACACAGGGTCGGCTGCAAAGCTGTTATAAGCTTTTCAGCATAGCACCTCTTTGCAGCTTTGACCTCTTTAGTCAGAGTGTTCCTGGCACTGGTTGTACCTGTCCCCACTTCTGAAGGCCTCCTCCTTGGTCTGACGAAGCTGCCTGAGTTTCGCTGTGAACCAGGGTTTTTAGTTGTTGTATGTGCGGAAGGTTTTAGTCGGCACACACATGTCCTCACAAAAACTGATGTAAGATGTCACAGTGTCAGTTAGTTCGTCCAGGTCAGTGGCTGCAGCTTCAAAAACACTCCAGTCAGTGCAGTCAAAGCAGGCCTGTAACTCCAGCTTTGACTCGTTGGTCCATCTTTTCACAGTCTTTACAACAGGTTTAGCAGATTTCAGTTTTTGCCTGTGTGTCGGGATAAGATGAACCAGACAGTGATCAGAGAGTCCCAAGGCTGCACGGGGAACAGAGCGATAGGCGTCCTTTAATGTTGTATAGCAGTGGTCCAGTGTGTTAGTGTCCCTGGTGGGACACTTAATATGCTGTCTGGACTTTGGAAGTTCATGACTGAGGTTAAAGTCCCCAAGAACAATGAGCAGGGAGTCTGGGTGTTTTTTCTCCACGTTAGTTATCTGGTCGGTCAGGTGTAGTAACGCCTCACTAACACAGGCCTGAGGTGGAATGTAAACAGCGACCAGAACAAACGAGGAAAACTAAACGGTTTACAGTTTATAAATAATGTCTCTAAATGAGGGCTGCATGATATTTCCAACACTGTGACATCTGTGCACCAACCTTCGTTTATATAGAAACAGAGTCCGCCTCCCCGTGTTTTTCCTGTGTGCTCCATTTCGCGATCTGCGTGGATGAGATTAAATCCCGGGAGGTAAATGCAAATGCTCCGTACTTGTATAGCGCCTTTCTAGTCTTTTCGACCACTCAAAGCGCTTTTTACACTACATCAGTCACACACATTCCTACACTGAGCCTAAGTGCTCCAACGGAAACTAACATTCACACTCACTCATACACTGGCGGAATAGCCGCCTATACACATACACTCTATCTTGTCCTTGGGCAAGATACTGAACCCCGAATTGCCCCTGGCGGGAGCCAGGGATTGTACCACCGACCTTCCGATTAACGGCCAACCCGCTCAACCTCCTGAGCCACAGCCGCCCCGAGGTGAAGTGCACTGTCCGGGATGCGCTCGGTGAGCCAGGATTCAGTGAAACAGAGGGCAGCAGATCTGCAGAAGTCCGAGTTAGTTCTGTTGAGGAGCAGCAGTTCGTCCTTTTTGTTGGCCAGAGAGCGGACGTTCGCCAGGTGGATTGAAGGGAGCGCAGTGCGAAATCCCCGCTGTCTCAGTTTAACCAGCGCGCCTGCTCGTTTTCCCCTGCGCCGTTTCCGAAGGATCCCAAACAGAGCTGCCGCTCCTCCAACTAGTAACTCCGGGAAAGTTCCAGGGTCAATAAAGAGCAGTGGAATAGTATGAGCTGTAGAAAGTCCAATGTTTAAGAGCTCTTCTCTGGTAAAAGTTACCAAAGAGGGACGGCAGAAAACAGCGTTATTAACAAAAACACAAAAAGCACTACGGAGCGTAATCCCAAGGGGGCTGTCTGCGGCGCCATCTTGTATAGTATAGAAATATGTTGTAATGATAATAATAGATTTATTTATCATGTAAATACATCTAAAAAGGTTTGTTATTCTTATAAGACAGTAAGTAAAGTGTTGTACTTGATCCCATTTAAGGGTCAACCATAGATCTTTGCATGGGCCCCCCCTAGGCCTTGGGCCGAGGTCATCTATACCTTTTGACCCTCCTGACGGCGGGCCTGGTGATACCCCTGTGTATCTAGTTGTGTCGTTCTTTATTATCTTGTCATTTTGTGTACTTTGCTTTGGCCAAAGCTGTTAAATAACAGTATATAATAAAATAATGTTATTAATGTTTTTACTAAATATAATACTTTACTATAATTATTACTTATATATTATTAATAATTAATTATAATTAATAAATATTTAACTCATAATGTGAAAAGTTGATCTACAGTAGAAACATATTCAAAAGCAACACAGAATTCCTGAGATCCCCAGAATGCAGGAAATTAAGTGTTAAATGCTCAACACTTTGTGGGATAGGGCCACCATACCCCCCGCTTGGTATGTGTCCCCTGTCTGTTTGCCACAATGACATTCTCAGTGTTAGTAAGTATGGTGAAACTACTTCTGAACCAGCCCCGGTACAACCTCCCCTCTGCTACCCTAACCTCTGTTAGGTGTAGTCTATTCATTGGCCTAAAGTCCTGGCTCTGAGTCAACTCAGATCCTGATTCGGGTACAGCCCTAAGAAGATCACATGATGACAAGTAAGCTACCTATATTACAACTGAGCATTCAGAAATTCCAAGGTCGTGGATTAACTTTTACGCTCATTGATTTGATTTTTACAATCATTATTTGCAAAATGCAAGTGGAAATAAACAGCATGCTAATAAAATACTAATGAGAGGTCTGTAAAACAGAAATAAGCTGTCTGAATCAGACAGAATGAACAAAATGGACAAGTTTTCTCTATTTATGTTAATGATAATGGATTATTATAGACAAAAAAATGCTGTTGTGTGTGTGTGTTTACCTGCCACAGTGTAAACAGCAGTGACAAGCAGCAGTATCCCTGTAGACACATAGAGATCCCAGCCTAACGACACCTGGATGAACAACGCCCCCGAAAAGATATCTGTCTGGGTAACACACACACAAACAGACAAATGTTTCTACTGTATCTTAGATTATACCTCATTTGTATGTCTGCCAAATGAATGAATGTAAATGTAAGAGTGTGTCTTACAGATATTTTGGTGAAGATGTAGAGGATGAGTGACAAAACAGACATGTATATGCGTATCCTCTGGCCTCCAAAGCGTTTGGCCAGGTATTCAGGCATGGTCACCACACCAGCAGAGATGTAGACAGGGATAAAGATCCAACCCAGAGCCACCAGGACCCACACTGCCTATACACATACACTCAAGTTAAAAAAAAACACTGTGTGTATATTAACTTTTATATATTTATATATATATATATGTGTGTGTGTATATTTAAAAAACAATCCCCCTCTCACCCCTTGCGGGGTGGTATGTGTCATCCTCATGCTCGGGTCCTCTATCAGAGGCCTGGGAGTTTGAGGGTTCTGCGCAGTATCTTAGCTGTTCCTAGGACTGCACTCTTCTGGACAGAGACCAGAAGTCAGTCTCTGACCTACCAAGCAGTGAGCAGGTGTCAGTGGCTGTGGCTCATCCACATCATTGTGCACATAAGTAAGCGGCCTCGAGTTGATGGTGGCTCATGGTCAGAATGGTGCACATTTCTTCAAATTTGAGTTTAGCACTGCCAAGTACCTTTCTGAGAATAATCTTGACGAGGCTTACAAGCCTTTCCCAGAATGCGCCCCACCAGGCTGCTCTTTCAGCGATGAACCGCCGGTGATGCCCTTCTCTGAGAAGAACTCTCCTAGCTGTGAATCCTTGATGCCTTTCCAGAGCTCCTTCAAATCCTGATCAGCTTTCCTGAACGTCTTGGCGTTATCTGAGTAGATCACCTTGTACAATCCTCTTCTTGAGATGAATCTTTTCAGGGCTAGCAGGAAGTTTTCAGTGGACAGATCTGAGATCAGCTCTAAGTGCACTGCTCTGGTTACAAGTGAACAGTGCTATGTATGATTTTGTCATGGAGCTCTGTGTCTTCACATGGAGTGGCCCTGCGAAGTCTACACCTGTGATCTCGAATGGCGGTGACTGTTATTCTGTCCTTTGGCAGCGGTGCGGTAGTTTGTTGTCCAGCCTTTGCTTTGAACCTTCTGCAACGTACACATCTTGACACAACCTTCTTAACTAGCTGTCGTGCCCTCAAAATCCAATATTTCTCTCGAGTTTGCACTCAAGTGTCTTGTACACATGTATGCATTATCGTCTCATGTTGATACTGCACCAACATTTCTGTATATCTGTGGTCGTTGGGCAAAATCAATGCGTGCCTTTCTCTGTAAGACAGGTCAGAATGCTGGAACCTCCTTCCCACACTGAGCAGCCCATCCTCATCCAGAAATGGTTTTAACTTGGATTCTGGAGTCAGTGTTAGGGCATTTACCTGGTTTCAGCAGATCAATTTCTAAGTTGAAACTGGATCTGAGTCACCTTTATCCAATGTTTTCCTGCTTCATTCAGCTCTTCTGCTGTCAGTTCACCCCTCATTTTTTGTGCTTGAGCGGGTGTTGGTGATGAACCTCTTCATTCAGGCTGTCACTCCGAGCACTGTCCTTAGTTTACTGTACTTCTCCAGACATAACACAGGTTTTAAGAGCTCTGTGTCTTGATTAACAAACTGTACAGCAATCTGGTATTTGGATCTGAGTTCAGAGTTTACCTCATCTTCCTGAACATCATCCTGAGTGCTTTCCGACTGATCAGGTGACATCAGACCACAATGATCCGACCTTCTGTCAAGGTGAGTGGTGTGGTGGAGAGGCACAGGCAGGGAGAGAGCGAGCAGGGGAAGACAGAGACAGACATGCAGACATGGGGCAGAGCTAAACAGAACCAGTAAGAGAACAAGGGAATACACAAGACTAAACAGGGAACACAAGACCAGGAGTAAACACAAAAAATATTAACTAACGTACAGGACTACACAGAGAAACACAGAACCTAAAACAGACTTAAACAGGAAAGACATGAAGACAAAAACCAGACTCCTAACACATGCAGTCTAAACTTGATCAAAACACTCATCAGATCTGGATTCAGATAGGGACCTGTTAGGAGACATCAACACAACCCAGTTTTGTTGTCACCTTATCCTCCCTCAGTACAGCGTGGTGAGGTAAGTAATATTTCTCACTGCTTGTGATGGTGGTGATGTATGCTCCCTCGGCACATCCTCAGCCATTCCTTGCTTTAAGTAGTCCTCCACTACTTCATTGTATCTGCTGTAGAATGTACATCCTTTTTTAGTTTTCTTTTCAAACTCTCCAGCCTCTTTTTTGCAATGCGGAAATTGTCTTGGAGTGGAGGATGGTTTTGCCGCCATGGCAACTCCACTTGATAACGTCCATCCTTGAAGATGGAGGTTTCCTCGAACCGCTGCAACGCCTCCACATCCTCTGGGCTGTCAGACTTCTCGCTTGTAATGCCCAGAGACTCAAGTTCCCAGAATGCATGCAGTTGTTTGTCAATCTGTGCCTCCTCATGAGCTGAATGTGCATGCATGTTGTCCCTGTCATGCTGTACACTGCTACTGGCCCTGTACTGCCCATCCAAAGGTGCTCTCCAGTGCCACAAGGGTCTCTGTGAGTCTTTCTACTCGGCCTGATACTATCTGCCAGTAGTAATCTTAGCCAGTTAGCACAGAAAGCTCAGATTTGTCATCTCCAGCAAAGTCTGCGAGTTGGAGACCTCTCCTTTCCATCTCTTTCTGTATATGTTCACCAGGGACCTTCATCAACGCTGTACACACCTTGGGGGTCACAACTGCCTCTATTTCAATGCTCTGCCGTTTATCCCAGACATTGTCCAAGCTGAGCCTCACTATGCTGCGCTTCACTGTTGTTGAAGAGGAGAAAATGTGCGAAGGGTAAATGTCCCTTGTCTAATGACAGGTAGATGCAGTGCCCTCACCACATTCTCATGCACAAAACTCCCTTGGCTGCCCCATCTAGCAAGCAACGGACCATCTTCCTGCTTGTGGGCCCTACAATCCATGCCTTGGCGGTTTGTAGCAGCCAGTATTCTCATTATCAGGCTTGCTCCTTTCTGCTTGAGGAATTACTCAGGAAATTAATTAGGAATAACAGTGTCCATGTCGGCAGAACAGCAGGTAGGGGTGCCTCAATTTTCTCACAAATGGCTGCATGATTCCTGCCCACATGCACATGACCTGCCCTTCGACCTGCAGAACCTCGCAATATGTTTGGGTCCCAAACCACATAGCACCTGCCAAGCTTCTTCAGTTTTCTTTACATGCTGACACCTGGTGGTCTGGACAGTTTCAGATTTGTGTTCAGCACCATCACAGAACAGCAGTTTTGTCTCAGCCCTGGTTGGATCTGATCTTGTGTTATTACCCTGCCACTGAGAGTACCTTTGGATGGTTCAGTGGAGAAAATTATTCTCCTGGCTTCTGCTTCTCCCTTATATCTCTTTAGATGGGTAGCCAGAGCAGTAAGTCTT